CATTTTCTTTTACCCCGTTTGATTTTTGGCACACCTTGGACTGGTTTCCAGTCCACCACAGGTTCACAGAGAGACGAGCAACACTTCCCACTCTCACTCACACCTAGAGACAATCTAAAGTCACCAATTAGCCTAGCAGGCCCATTTTTGGTCTGCAGGAGGAAACCGGAGTACCCGGACAAAACTCATGCATGCACAAAGGGAAGCATGCAAACTCCACCCACAAACCTTCTTTTTGTGACGCAACAGCTCTTACAGCTGCACTGTTACACCCCTGTAATGGAGCAGGCTGCTTTGAGTTTAACTCCATCACAGAACTCTCATCTTGAACAAGCATGAAGGCGACAGTGGAAAGGAAAAACTCCCTCACGAGGAAGAAACCTTTAACAGATCCAGGCTCAGGACAAGCAGCCATTTTTTACGACCGGCTGGGTTTGGTAGGAACAGATACACAATGGCAGGTCAAGAATCACGTTAAGAGAGAGATAGTATCAAATGAAAACTATTCAATTGTAACAATTCATTTAAGGAAATGAGGTGAATTTGTCCTCTAGTAGCCTAAGCTTAAGACATCATGACAAGCCAAATCGAACTATAGGATTTATCAAAAAGGAAAGCCGTAAGCCCAGTCTGAAAACTGGTCAATGAGTGGAAGCTCCCACCTCCATATGAAAATTTTGTTAAAGGTCTGAGCAGATGAGTTTGACATGTAGACTGGTGATCTCTAATCTTCTGAGCTGAAGTCATTCTATTAACAAGATCTTAGAGACACCCCCTCCCTTTCTCTCTTTCTTTTATTAACAAGAAACCATCTGAAGATAATAACAAACTGGACCCTCCCTGCATGCCTGACTCCCCAGCAGGCTGTGCATTTCTGTTATGGCACAGTAGTCCTGCTCAATGGCTGACTATAATTAAGTACCAAATATGCCATATTGTGTGGCTGTGTAATCAAATCAAAAGAGGATAATATTGCTATTAATGTAATTGGTCATGAAGCATAAAGTATGTTACGTAATTAAGTAGTCTCAAAATTATATAGGCCTACATTAAGAATTAGCCAACCTGAGCAAATGTTGTCTCTGTGGCTGTTTTAGGGAACATTGCTTCCTGATATTCTTTTTTTTTCCTCCTGTGGTCATTACTAGAGACAGGAGAGGATGAGACCGAATGTTTGGGAGACAGAACGCGAGCGTGAACCACAGAGGTGAAATGATCTTTGTCGGAAAAATTGCCGTCGTGACCCTTTCGTAAATTCAGCCTCCATTTACATATAAAGGGTTCCTTTAATCAAGGTAAGTGTTATTATATTGTGCCTCATTGGGCAAGGGAGTTTAGGTGTTAAATAAAATCTTGTCTGCTCCACTACCTTTGGGATGTGATATGTCTGGATTTTTCAAATGTCAGCACTGTGGCAAAAATGACCGGTTTAATCAGTCGGCCGACATTTAGCTGCACGGGAGCTTCTCTTTATGGGTGTGTGTGTGTGTGTGTGTGAGAGAGCGAAAGAAAAACAACACAGAAAGAGTGTATCTGTGGATGTGAAAAAGATCCCTTTCTTTTGGACACAGAATGGATGCTTGTGTCTATAACCACATAAATTTATCTCAGTGTCTCTCGTCTTTGAGTCCCAGGTCAGGCTTCTCACTGGCCCCTACTCTCCCTTAAATCGTCTCCCCCCTAGTAAAAAATAATCAAAACAACCTCCACCCCCCACACACAGACAAACATATCTTCCTACCAATACACATCTCAAACTAAATCCCCATTGAAGGATTGACTATGTCACCCAAGGCCCGTATATCTCGCTCAGAGACCGTAATGTACTGCGGTGTTCCCGTCTTTGCATATAAGATAATTTGGGCATCAATCCTTCTCCAGACAGATTTATGTCACTCGGAGGACAGTTTCACTTCTCCTTCTTTATCGCTTCACTGGAGCCTGCTTAATTTCCCCCTGTCAGCCCCTTCCCCAGGAGATGTTATTTTTTCCCTAAATGTCCAACATTTGCATTGGGCTGTCCACGATGGGGAGAGCGATGGCACTGTTGTGATAAATAAATTTGTGCATGCCGTGCCAGGTTGTCCCCCCCCCCCCCCCCTTGTTTTTACTCTGTTGTTGTTCCTGTTGTCTGGCGCCACAAGTTGGGTCCTCTGTCCCGGGATGGTTCCCACTTTTTCACAAATGTTCAATTCATCCGTAGCCCTCCCACCTCGACCCTTAAAAGATTTGTGCTCAAACAGCCTTCAAGGCTGCTATAAAATTACACCAAGGGTAAAAGAGAAGAAGAAGAAGAAGAAGCTGTGCTGCTCCAGTGAAAAGGAACAAAAACAAAATCTAATCCTCAAACAAAATATGTTAAAAATATATAAAAATTCCCAGTACTTACTTCCCCCTTTTTCTTTGCATTACAAGATGGAGGTTACATGTAGTGCCATTGCCCATCCATGCCCATATTCATCCCCATTCCACTCATAGGCCCTAAAAACAGGAAATAAACACCAAAAAATGGGTCAGCAGGAGTTTTTAACACAGAGAAGCTGAAGTACACCCACTGGATGAGGGGATGAAGTCATGGGATACAATAATGGAAAAAACAGAGTTGGACAGGAGCTTCAGTAGTTACAATGGTACCACTTTACAATAAGACTCCTCTTTAATAAACAGTTTATAGATATGTTATTAATTCCTCAATAAGCACTTTATAAATCATTAATAACTGCATATTATTTTATTTATTATTATTTTTATTTAGAAATGTGTTCATTTCATTAAAAACAAAATAACTATATACAATAGAAAACAAAAATATGTATACAATCAAAAATAAAATGAAAGACAGCAGAAGAAGAATAAATCTTATGATATATGCCCCTTTTTGCTCAGAATATATCCATCCATTCATTATCTTTACCCGCTTATTCCATTTTGGGTCACGGGGGTCGCTGGTGCCCATGTCCAGCAATCACTGTGCGAGGGGCGGGGTACACCCTGGACGGGTCGCAAGTTCATCACAGGGCCAGAATATATTCAAACAAAAGTAATTTACAAAAAAACAAAAACAAAGCTAAATAAAAACAACATAAATTCAAACAAAATCTGTATAAATACACATTATACTTTTCCATATTATGTATTAATTAAGGGTGACAGAGACAAAACTGACCAGTTTCTTGCCAAATAGTGAACGAAATCTGTTCACTTGCAGTATATATTTCATCTAGAGTTGTAATTTTAAACATTTCAGACTAAGTTACTACCTTGTAAGCACAATAAACATTTATAAACCTATTTCTATAAGTAATATTATAGTAGTCCCTCGTTTATCGCTGGGGATCTGTACCCTGAAGAAGTAGTAAGTAGTAGTTTATTTTAGTATTTATATATATATTAAGGTGTTTTAAACTCTTCCCACACTCTTGCAATATTCTAAACAATGTTTCTAAACTCTAAATGCTCTAAAAGAGACAGAATATCATGACTTCCCTCTCTGCCTCGGCTGCTCTCAGTCACCTTCAAGCGCTCTTGGCCACGCCCATTTCTCCGCTCTGCAGGAGAACAGCTGATCAGCTGCTAGAGGAAGCTTATTCTGCAGTGTGGGCTGCATAAAGGTGCAGCAGGTTCTAAATAATTTCAAACAATTCATTTTAAATAAAAATTCCATGCCGATCAGGCGGCTCATCCATCAATCAGCCAGTTGTGTTCAATATTATTTTGAAAAACCGCAATAGAGCAAGTCTGCAAAAACGAACTGCCAAGTAGCGAGGGACTACTGTACATCCTAAAAAAAACTTGGTTTACAAATGCTTATTGTGCTTACAAGATAGTGACTTAGTCTGAAATGTTTAATATAAAAATTCTATGAAATTTAAAGGTGAATAGATTTGGCAAGAAACTGGTCAGTTTTGTCTCCCTGTCACCCTTAAATTAATGCATAATAAAAATGTATTAATGATTCATAAAGCATTTATGGAGGAATTAATAATGTATCTATAAACTATTTATTAGCCATGTATAAGGGAAGCCTTATTGTAAAGTGGTACTGTTATAATTATAATGAAGTTTCCCACGTGTTAGATCATATATCAAAGCTGAAAATAGAAAAAGTCAGGCAAACACTGAGGGGTTTTTTACTTGGAGGATCTTCTACAAGCTAAAGTGACAAAAGAGAATCAGCGCTGATCAATTTTGGGATAAATGAGGTGAAACTGGTGAGTGGGAAAGCGAGGGGGATGGTGAGTGAAAGGATGAAACAAGAAAAGAGGTGGATGTATTTACCAGCTGGTCGGATCCCCATGTGTTGCTGACCATCCAGCACGAAGCTGCCCATTGGCTGGCCCTCTGGACTGTATGCTGCTCCTTGGCTCACTGAAGGATCAAGAAGAAAACCTGATTGTAGTCAAAACGTGGACATGAAAAAGGGAGGGGGGGAAGAAGAAAAGAGAACACACCAGACAATCAGCAATTGTCTCAGCTCCAGCCCAAACATTCTGTAAGACATTGTGCTCATGTTGGTGGACCACATTGACTGACGCGTGGCATGCAAACACGCATACAGTAGGTCCTTATGCATGCAAGCACATACACACACATGCGTGCACACACTCAGTGCCATTCAAACCCATGAGCACAGGAGATACATTGTTCTCTAATTCTCTACCCAAGCAAAGAAAACATGCAGTTTGACAGGATGAGACATTTCTAAGATATAACGGGAAATGAATTCACTGTTTGAATAAGGAACTGCATGTACGCTTCTTCTCTGAAGAACGAACAATGCAACTTTATTATTGATGCTAATTTTCAATCACAACATTATTTCTAAATGCGAATGATCTGATCTGTCATGATACAAAAACTTTAGGAGCAATCAGTTCACTTGATTTGACACGTCTGATTGAGACGATTACTGATCCAATGTATTTTACAGGTCGTACAGCTGGTACATTCTAGTAGTATACCAGTATTACCACAGATAAACTGTCTTTAGGTTTACAGGGAGATTTTTATGTGTGTGCAGAAATTGTGGACTGGCACACAACATGTTTTCTGTCAAGAAGTTAAAACAAAAAGTACAATAACTTAAAGATTGCTGACATTTGTTGCTGAATTCAGTCTCAGTCATGGTTTATGTTTTTTTTTATTTTTTTTTTAAGAATATCTACTCAGTGGGTTCAGATCTTTAAAGTTGGTGAGTGCATTAATAAAAAAGCAGTTTATTCATTGTCACTGCAGCTAAGGGTGACTGCAAATCATTGCCATTTACTACAGATAAATATATACATCCTCCCTGTGCGCATGGTAAATCAAACATATTGTTTTATTTAATCAAGTAAGACTCAATTTATTCATTCATAAAACATATTTCTGCCAAGGCTGTTGATTGAGTAGCCCATAGGTTATTTTTTTTCATGTTATTTTTTAATTTGCTGAATATCTGCTAATAATAATGTGGAAGACACGAGGGAATGAAATACAAATGCAGCAGAAAAATTAAGAGCAACACCCTCTAACCCCAATCTGGGAGAATTTTTTTTTTTTTAAAGACTAAAAAAGGATATAACATAAACTGCTGCCAGCATTTTAGGCACTCCCCTTGTGTCCAATTAGTAATTCACAGAGAGCACTAATACACCATTCTCTCCACTTAGAGTGGGAAATCTCCAATTAGAGTTGATCAACAAACAGCTTGCAACACTGCAGAACATCACACTGAAAAAAATGGAAAAGGGAATGAAGAGAAGCAGAGGAAGAGGAGGATGCAGAAGGGTTTATTTGAAGGGTGCATGAGCTCTGTGTTAAATCTTAAATCTGAGCTCCAGGCGTGGGACACCAACTATTAAAGTATGGGAAGAATGTCTTCATGTAGGGGAACAAACAGCTGAAGAATGATCATACACTGGCTGGGTTGTTCTGCTTTCTTTCTTTTTTACCTGCTCGATTTGACTGGTCAATCATAGGCTGTACTATTCTTCTCCTGGCGTTAATAAACCTAGAGGAGAGAGGAAAGAAATAAAGAGAAGAGAAATAAACAAAGTTAAATCACCCTGCATTCATGCATAAAGAAGATTCATCACAAGAAAACAAAAAGACAAACAGTTTGCATGACTTAATGGCAACATTAGCTGCAAAGTCCTTGGGAGAGGCGCACACAACAAAACAGAAAGAAACAAAAGGGCAGTTGTGTGCTGACTGGAGAACCCAGTGAGGGATACTTTTAATGTTCCGTATGATCTATTCCCCCCTCTTTTAATAAAGCTTTTGATTACGTCCGGTTGCTATGGGCACCAGGGAGACATTCCTCAAGTATTAAGTGCAGCTTGGGCACAGAAGCTCGGGCACATCCCTTTCTCTCTCCCTCTTCTCCTCCGTCAGACTTGCAGTCAGTTGAGCTCAACACACTGCAGCTACACATCCCGCTCTCCAAAACATTATTTCAGCAGTGTCATCATCCATCACAGTTTCAAAGTCAGCTTTAAGTTACGAAAAAAAATCAGGATACAAATGGTTCCTTTCATTGCATCCTAGTTTTTATTTCGCCCTGCCCGCCTCCACCATCCCCCTCAGTGGGACCCCCACTCTGGTTGCATTGTGGGGGGTTCTGCTCCCCTTCCAGCTGTCCAGAAATGAGGACCAGGCATGGGCCGCTCCGTTCTTTCACAAGGTATTGTTATGTCAGTGAGCCCATCAATTAGGCTGTCTGAAGTTTTATCACCGCCATGGCGGCGAATGAGCACAGCTCCACAAAGCCTCCCCAGCAAGGCTCGCTCCTGTGGCTTTTCCAGTGGCGAGCCGGAGGTCATTGGGAGGTGAGTGCCAGCCGGGGGCAACCTTTTTAACTTCCACTAGCAATGCCTTGGGCCGTGTCGACCACAGGCTGACCACTCAAGTGGAGCTAGAACTCCACTTTTTTTTATTTTTATCATGCCCCCTTTTAAATGAGTTTTCTCCTGTTTGCTTTAAAAACTGAAATCTTGGACACAGCAATGCAGGTACCAGCATGTGTTTGACATTAAGCAAGGGGTTCAAATCACGTTGGAGCTGTCCAGCATGCTGGTCCCAGAAAAGCAGAAAAGAGAGAGAGGAAAAAAAAAAAAAGGTTTACCTCCCTCCTCTAACATACAGGCCCTCGGCACCATCAGAACGGCCAAAGAACTGGTCATTAGAAGGAAGGGAGAGCTGGAACCAATTTGGGTTCCTAATCCCCCATGAAGCCCTGATACCTGCCCTTACCTTCTCCAATGAATTTAAATGCCTGTAATCTGCCCAGCTCAAAGTGACATGGTTAAACGTACAAAATGCACGGTTGGGAAAAGAGAGGCACGGCGCTCATTTGCCAGGGGGCATCCAGAGTGCAGGTACGCAGGGGTGCTGTGGGCCCCCAAGAGAAAAAGATGAAACACATCCATTTGAGATTATAAGGAAATGAAAGATGAGGACGGGAGGTGAGTAAGAGTTGGTTTGGAAGTCATAGGATTGTAACGCATGATTTGTGATTTAAGGAAGCACTGAGGATTTTATTACTCAGAAAGTACTTTTTAAAAGAAGATTTTTTTTTTTTTGTCAGGTTCCCCTGATGTCAGAGCTTTAAGAGAAATAGTTCCAGCTTGAAAACCAGCTGAGCAAGTAAACAAAAATGCATTTCTGGTATTGCACTTCTTCTTTAAGTACAGACTGCAAGCTTTCCCCCTTATTACATGCACCAAAAAGGCTCAAAATCACAACCATGTGCATTTGTACCTATTCCGGGTCATAACCATAAACACATAATATTAGGAATGTTCTTCCCAGGTGCTAAATCTGACCGTACGGTTTCACTGCAGAGGAAATTCTCTGGAGTGTACGCTGTAGGATCAAAGTGCAATTTTCAGACATCTTTTCTCTCTAAATGTAAAAATGCTAACTTTAATATGTGTTTTTCTAACTTTTTTCAGTAAATGTTTGACCTAAAGCACATGAAGAGAGTTAGTGTTTGCTTATAATGAGATGGTAATTTTCAATATGAAAGCACATGTTTCATACGTAGACAGTCAGACATGTATATTTAAATAGCTGCATCTCACACAGACCTAGTTTTTGTCTATCTTCCCCTATTTGCTAATTAATGCCATATTGCAGCACAAAGTCAAGAAAGTGCAGCTTTTGCAAGCTAAGGAAGTTGCCACAGTAACAAGCAGGCAATGAGGTGCAGTGAAGGGAGTGGAGGGTGACCAGAGGGCCTCTCCTGTGGCCTTAAAGCACCTTTTATCAGTCTGAGTAAAGCCAATTGAGATTATCAGAGCCGGGCTTGATAACAATGTTTTCCCTCAACCCGTGAGCTGCTAATGGAGTGTGCTTAGAAAAACACAAACAGGAATCCTCCAGAGATGAAGGCAGTTTGGACGGACTGTCAGATGGATGGACCCAAAGCCCCAAGAGAGATGCAGAGGTTGACCACAGGGACTGAGAATTCCTAAACCACTTGCTAAAACATACATGCACGCTGTAAATCTGCACATCGCCACCATGGACATGACCACAACTACCACCAGAGTGTCCAAGGACTAACCAGAACACAGGCGGCTCACATGGGACGCCGGCTTAAAACCTCCAGCCCAAAGCTCATGTTTTATTATCTACATCTGGTGGTCTAACTTATTACGACCTGCCTCTGCTCAGTGTTAGCACACAAAAAAACACCAACACACGCACACACATAGTACACAGCGTACCTCTCAGCATGGTAACTCCATGCTGTCTTCAAACAAATAATTAAAGCCAGGGCGGGGGGAAGGAGGGGGGCGGTCACGAGGAGGTCATTCATAGGAATACGGCTCAGAATGTGTACAATACCCCAGGAGCGAGCGGTTGGGAGGGAGGGGCGGCGAACTACTGCTGCTTAATGTAAGCGACTAACACCGTCCAGTCAATGAGCCTTTAACACATTTTCATGCTGCTTATCAAACACCAACTTGGAGTGGGAGGTGTGTGCAAGCATGCAACGACGTAAAAAAATTCACAGACACATTCTCCATGTGGCCATTCACACCCTCGACTGTTTAAGTTTTGGTCTGTTGTGGAGTTGTAAGGAAAACAGCAGACAGATATGAATGATGGAGCCAGGGCAGCTGGAGTCCACTTGACACAAGGTCTCCACAAGACTGGATCAACACTGAATCCTTGGTTAATAATATCTGTTCTCACATGAGGGGGGAGCTTCAGAGGAAACCTCTGAGCGTTAACCACCTCGTCGGGCATTCCATGAGAACATGTGAGAGGAATGAATCTGTCCATGTCTAAAACTCATCTCGCTTGGATTCAATTTTACTGAGGTAAATAAACTTGTCTTTTTAACGCTGGTACTTTCAGTTTACTGGGTTTATAGATACAATCGTTGCAAACCAGTTTGTCTGACTTAGAGCTTTTGTTTTAACTTCCTCATCCCAATCTGTCAGAAAGGTCTTGTTTCTGGTTAACTGACTTGCAGCCACACCTGGTAACTTGGTCCCGTTGTCAGCATTCCTTCCTTTTTAAATTGTCATGCCAAACCACTCTACCCTGGAGCACAGCCAAGAGAGAGCGTGCACGGGACTGAGATTAAACAGACAGAAAGCCTTGATGCTTGACGGGCCAATTGCTGCAGAGATCGAAAGAGAATCTGCCAATCAGGAGCGGGGCCACTCGTTCGATGAGTTTATGGTGAAAGAATGAAACATGAACGTATCTGCTCCGAGGAATAAGCTCTGGACTGCTGAAAACATAAAGCAGAAGAAAGGATCTAGCTTTAAAATTGGGACAAATACTTGTTAGACTGCCGCCTTGAACGTCGTAAGCCAGAGAGAAAGAAGAAAATTTCATTTGTCAGTCAAACTACCACACCTCAGTTCGTCTGCCTTGTAGGAGGATAATCAGCAACACAATTGAAAGAAGAATTTGCTGAGCTCATGATCACTGCTTGCAAACATGACAGTCCTCTGGTTCCTATTAACGCTCATTGCTTCCATACTTCCGCTTCAGACAGAAATAACGATTCCAAAACCCCAGCAACTGAGTCACTGAAAACCAATGAGAACGTTTTAGGTTCAAGTTCTTCTTAAGAGAAAAACTGCAAGAAAAGAGTAAAAAAAAGAAAAAAAACACCAAATGTACTTTGACCAGCATCAAATGAACCCCGTGAGAAGGGTGTGTTTAGTGTAAGCAAATACTAATTGTGGTCTGGGTGGACAGTGGGGCTGTCTGGGACCACTGAATCTCTAACACTGATCTATTGTAATATCAACACCAATGATTGGATCAGCTCACATGGTGCAGCAAGGCCCCGGTAATAGTTTATATATACAGTAGTTTGCCACCAGACTGAACTTGTAGGATCTGTGGATTCATCATAAACTACCAGAGGAAAACCTCTCGCAGGCTCCACTCCCCCAGGATGAAGGTCCAGGAGACACAAGACAAGGAAAAAGTTCTCACAGTCATCCTACAACAGACAGAGTTGTTCTTTTTAATCCAGTTTTTTCCTCTTTTAACTTAAAACAGGAGTCAGGAGACATAGGTTGGGCGAACATTACCTCACCCCCGGGTTTGATTTGGTGCAGATGTGAAAGGGAGCAAGGCAGGAACGTTCTGAAGAAACGTCAGAGAGAGGGCCCAAGTTTAGGGCAACCACTGTGTTTACATAGTTTTACCTCTGTCTCTCTCTCTTTCTCTCTCTCTCTCTCTCTCTCTCACACACACACACACACACACACTCTTTTGTTTGCCTCTGAAAAGGGGACTGTTTCACCTCTCCTCCATGGACTTTCACTGACCTGTTTTTCTTTCGCTTTTTATTACTCCATTCATTGCCCATTTGTGGCATCCCCCCCACCTAAGTCCTATATGACTAACATTTGCATTGCTCCATCAGTCTAGCTGCACAAGCCGTTCCTCCCTGAAACCCAGAGAGCGTGACTCATTAAGACCCCAGTGGAAAATCAGACAAAGACTTATATATTTGTGTTGCTAACTGACAAG